GGGGGGGAGGGGGGGGGGGAATTCCGCAGGAATTTAGGGGATGAAAATCCAGCGTACTCGACGGGATTAACCGGTGTCGTGGGAATAAAGTAATTAAACGGCCTGAGAGTGTTGACGGCATTTTCGGCATTCAGTCTTTCGTTAAGTAAAGGGGGACTTGCAATTCTCATCTCCGGGCGGCATAAGAATAATGGCCGCCGGGTGTAGCCGGCCGCGTTGAAGTCACCGCGAAAATTTTCCCCTAGTTAGCTAGACGGTTTTTTACCTGCTGAATTTTCTTTTTAATCAAAGAAAGGAGGCTCTCCTGCTTTTCGAAGTACGAAGGCACGGAACGGAAAGAAAAAGACGAACGAGTATTTTTCTTCTGTTTCCATTCGAACGGGACTTTTTACTTTCTCATTATTTTTCATCCTTTAGGATTTCAGTATCTCAAACTTTTACGTTCGCCAAAGAAATATATTTTTTTTTCCAAGTTTTTAGTTTTTCACGTGTCGTATATATACATTTATTCCTGTGTATACCATGTAACAGGGAGACATCTTATTCCCTGCTTGGGTTAATAATCTTCGTGGAGTGGATGCTGCTCGAGCTCTGAGAACGGAAGAGCGGCGGAGAAAGCGGCAAGGAACAAGGAGAAAAAAAAGAGCTGTAAAACAACAGGAGTTAGTCCAAGTTGGTGGTAGGGGGGTCGAAATGGAGGGTCACGCAAGGACTACTTAAAAGTCAGTTTTCCCGGGGGAACGTCCCTGAAATATTTTAATTGAGGCTTTTAAGGGAAAAAAAGTATATGAAGTCTTCACGTTAGGATTTACATCAGTAGTAGGGTGGATATTGTCGTGCAGTGGGCAGACAGTAGATATACAACATGGTTAGTCAGACATATCACGTACAAGGGATGCAACGTGGGGAGGCTTAGTTTTTGCGAGGATAACAAAAAAATGAAAGAAAAAAATCTCCACTGTATTTTCACGAATCCTTCTGAAAATTTTATTCGGAATTTTTTTTCAGCCCGAGTGTTCCTTGATTTTACGATCCGAGGGCGTCGCGACGACCTCTTTATTTCTGGGCAGCAGGGCGCGTCTTTTATTTCTCGAAAAGCCTCGCACGCAATATCTGAAATTTCTTATGCGGGGATCGTCACTCTGATCGCCGTCCCACAAAGAGGTCCCTAACACGTGGATGACAGGGGAAGATAAAGAGAGAGAGAGAGAGAGAGAGAGAGAGAGAGAGAGAGAGAGAGAGAGAGAGAGACAAAGAAATAAGAAGGAAAGCACAGTATAAGGACAAGAGTACGTTACTCGGGAGAATTAAGCCGCGTAGAAATAAAAGTTTGATTATAAAAAATGTAAATACAACCCGTGATTAGTCGGTTCCCGACGGAGGTATAAATCTTGGCGTAAATGGAGCTGGCGATGAGTAAAAACATTGAAGAAGAAAGAAAAAAAAAAAAAGAGGGGCGAAGGATAGAAAAATAAAAAAAGAGAGAACAAAGAGAGATATTCAGCTACAAGAGAACGAAGGACGGAAAGTAAGGGATAAATATACTAAAGTGTTTACGGGACACGCCGTGGCACCGCTCTTACTAATTATAAATCCAATTTGCTTCGGAGGCTCTAAAAGACGCTCGAGATGCTCGCCGGGCGCCAATTCCCATGGCTTCCGGGAATATAACAGCATTCGTTTCGCCGTCGTTTACAGGAGAGAGAAGAAACGGCTGTACAGCTGAAGACTGTACAGCTGAGTAACTGTACGAGTACCTGTATACAGATGCTGAATACGAATGACTCGAAAATGTCAAAATAAGTTAATTTTAGGCCTTCCCCTTCCGCGCCTTTCGCCGCCCCCCCCCCTTGATCCCCTGCCCCTTGTGCCAGTTCACGGATCCACCGGCGTCAATTGGATTCCTCTTGTATCGAATGATACATTACACGGCTGACGCACCTCCCGTGTCATGACTACCAAGGTTATGTTGGTAGCACTGGTCTCGTAGAAGGCACCGACGTCCGTCACGTTAACGCCGCTTCCTGGTTTCCACTCGCCGACCTTCACCAGTTCCTCCTTCTTCAGCTTGAGTAAATCCAGCTTGAAGTTGTTCCTTTTACCCTCGTTGAACTCTATGCGCCCGGTGAGTCCATGTATGCCAGCCTAGAACGAAAACGTTATACAGTCGGCTGCTTGACGATTGAATGAGGTAAAAAATGTGAAAAAAAAAAAATGAAAGAAAAAAAAACTAGAGTACCACCGTGCAACCGCAAAGAGTCGTGTGTCGATTACACTTTCTATTTTCATTTAATTCCGAGCTCCGCTCGGATACGTCTGGTTCGGCACTTTCGATTATCAAAAGTGGAGGAAATGTTGGGGGCCAAGTAGATTCGCGATACCCAGTCCACCTCGCGGCGTCCCGACGCTCCACGTCGCTCTCGCACCGGGGACATTTTACGGTATACTCGTCCCGGCAGATTCGCGCGTTAATTACCTCTGGGTTGGCACTGGCTCCACGTCGTTTCCCGTAGCCACTCATGCACACGCCGAAGTACCGTGAATTATGTGCAGTGGTGCCAACATAAATCCATTTGCAAACGTTCAGTTACAGGAGGGAACATCGAGTCCTCCGGCGAGGAGGAATTCCCGCGGTAGATTAATCTATGCCCGAAGATTCGAAAATTCAGAGTGTCCGCAGATTTTTTTTTCTTTTTTTTTTTTTACGTTCTCGCATTGACATTTTTTTCCCCCCCTAAGGCCGACAGAATATCATCCAGCGATGGGAAATGGCGGTTCGAGCGATCTCGTGACAGCTGTCATATTTTATACGTGAGTTTCAGCTGAATCGACCTGTATATATATGCGTAAAAGAGCTATAACTTTCTATATAGATATTGTTGGGAAAAATTGTTCTGGCGAAGCGATTCGAAAAATTCCAAGATCATCCCCGAGATAAATAGTAAGACCACGGGAGGAGGGGAGTAGACGAGGGAAGCGGAGGGGGTAGAAGGAGAAGGAAAAAAAAATGGGAACTTTTCCCATTTCTCGAAGACTCCGCGGAGACTTCATCCCTTAGGCGCAATAGAAATCAACCCGCCGTAAGGAACATGTGAGCGTAAAGCTATATCCAGAGCACCTTGGTCGCACAAAAAAAGAAACTCACCTCTTCTGTTATTTTTCTTCCTATTTCGCACTCTCCCTTTATATGATCATCACCCCGTATCTATGTACAATTCTATACCCTTAGCTATATACTGGTCCTGTGTTTACTGTACAGTCAGGGCTGACTGCCTTTTGACCCACTGCCCTTATCCGCCTATCCCCGTTTTACTCCTGAATAATGCATAGCCACCCTCTCTCAGGATTATACGGTGTTATCAGACAGTATCGATACACGTACCACGTGTTTACTCCAGACGATGCGTAAATATCGTACAATTTTCCCCGGACAATTAATAACCGATGTCGATTATGGTAAAAAGTTGGCGATACCTGAATTTTACGACACCCTATACATCACGGGCGATTCCCCGGGAGTATTGGGCTAGAAGAGAATTTATTTGTAAAATAAAAAAAAAAACAATTCAATATAACCAATCTACCGAGTGTGCCAAATAGTAGACAGTAGATTTTGGGAGATCAATTTTAATCCAACGATCAGCTATTTCCGAAAAATCAGGAAAATTCGACAGACGCACTCTGTCAGCATCCACCGATCGAAGACCGAAACTAAGAACCATTGGAAAGTCCAGAGAATGAAGCAAAATAGTTATAAAAAAAAGTGAAGAACTTTCGTAGTTTCAAGCAAGACTACGCGAGCCATGGCGATCGGTCCTGTAGACGGTTCTGTCTGACTAGGTACCAAAGACCCTCCCCTCCCTTCGCCCCTCTTTCCCGAGGCCCCACAAAACTTTTCCAAACCTGAGACGAAAATAACAAAGCGCTTGATAGCCTGAACTAGCTGCTTCGCATTTTCAGTATAAAGGTGTCAAAATCCGAACCACTAGGGTCTCCCTATGCGGGATTCTCCAGTCCGGAAGCATCGATCCCTCAGTGACGGACCCGTCCACATCCGGTCGTCTATAGACCCAACGATTGGCACAACGCTGGACTGAAGTTCCCTTCAAAGGAAGAAGCATGCTAAGCAGTCGGTCGGTAGCATTCGGCAACGTGCTTGGAAATTTCGGATGACTATCCTCGGGCCATGTAATTACACCTTCAAAACGTTTTACTCAGCGAGCGCACGAGGTCGCTGGGCGCAGAGGGGCTGCGGAGAGGAAACGCAAGGGGGGTGGTTTAATACAGAATCCGCAGAGAAGTTATTAATTCGTGGTGTGCATTGCGCAATGTGATTTTGTGACTTTGACATAGGAGTAGCGACCTAACTAGACCGGAAGTTCAGATTAATCTATGATGCTGGATTAATATAATAAAAATTCGGCTTGAGAATTAATTAACGACCGGTAGACTTTTATAAATTCAAATAATAATTATTTTATAGTTGAACCAAAGATTTAATTATCCCTAGTCCCAATGACTATATGTACCTTGCTAATGAACTTGCTGTGCGAAGAAAAAGTATGCAGTAGGCAGGTTTATTTTTTTTTGTACGTTATTTTTATACGTAAGCTGTTTGTTTTTCTTGGGAAATGAAGAAAAAACTTTTTACTTTTTTTTTTTCAATTATCTGGTGTATTGCTTTAGCAAAAATGTGGGAACGAAGGGTTTATGAGGTTTGGTAAGATAAACTGAGAATTATGAGAAGGCGATGGTTTCTCCTGAGGAATTTCCATGCGGGAGAATATTTAGGAGCGGCGCCCGGGCGACGTCGATGCCCCCTCGTAATCCCGTTTATTCAAATCTTAGTCCCGCGGGATGAGGATCCGGGACTCCCTTCAGGATCCCCGTCATTCATCACTTTAAGTAGCCGGTAACCTCTGCGCTTAGCTTTAAGACTCGCGAGGAAGACAGTCTCGTCGTCCTCTTGAGTATCGTTCCCTATTCAATTTCCCCGGGTAATTATTATGCCGAGGGAAACACGCACCTGACGCAACTGGCTGCGCCTTGGATGCAAGAGAGGAAAAAGGTCACGAGGAGGAAAGAAGCGAAGGATTAGGAGGGAAGACTGAAAGACGAGTCAGTTGATGGAGCGAGCGCTGCCGATTCGGGAGTGAAGCTCCGTGACGTCATCAAAGGATACAGTCGACTCTCCCTAAAGGGCTCAGGAATTTTGCATTTCCCCTCGAGCCTCTCTGAGCCATCTCGGCTGGAGCGCACTGTACCTACCACTCCCCTGTGTCGCTGTGTTGTTTTTTAGCTCGGCCTTCGTCAGATATCCACCTACATGTAACTCCATTTGGAGAATTACGTGATACGAGATAACACTGTCTCCGATACAGTGCGATCTTACGGAGTGTACTGTAGAAAAAAAAATTAGGCAGAAAAAAATGGGAAGAACCCTAAAGTGCGTAAAACTCGCGAAATTCTCGGGCCTCGATTAAAATGGGCGCTCGATGCTTTAAAGAAGGTCGCTCCGATTCGATCAGTATGGTAATTGGAAAGGAACGACGGGAATCTAAAGGAATCTCAAAATTGAGTTGTAAAGTCTTCGTGAAAACGGGCAAAGTTACTTTTCCCTTTTTTTTTTCTTTCTTTTCTTCCTTTCTTATCGTCGCTTCTACCTAAGTACTTCGCTTCCGAATACGATCGAGTTTTGCCGTGCGCCATTTTCTTTTCTTTTCTTTACGTGTTTTTGCGTTTTTTTTTTTTTGTAAAAAAAGTGGCGAAAAGATCAAGGGTGAGGGGGGATGATAACGTGGATACGTTCAGTTCCCATTGAATCTCATATGGGCTACATATGTACATACATATGTAATACGTTGTTGCGTTTCGATCGAACCACCCTGTATATGTAATTGTAATAAGTATAGACGAAATTCAACCAAATTGATTTTATATCTAAGCTGGAGCGCAGGCATCAAAACACACTTCGGTGGGAATTCTTGCATGATTCATAATTACTGAAAGGACAATCTTGATTGTTCGTCTATGTGATAATCGATAAGAGAAAATGTGGATCGAGTGATAGTGAAGAATAAGTGTTTCGTAATCGATCAATGCGGAATAAATATATGTATACATACCAACGTCACACGTTCATGTGTATATTTTGAACACCATTTTTTTTTTCGATTTTTCATCATTTGCCTATACTATGGATCAAGTTAAGTTTATTTTTATATTAATACTTAAATCGATAGAAATTTTACTACAATTGTGCTTTTTATTGCTTCTCCTTATCGATTTGCAGTATTTATCGAAATTATCTGATAGCACGCATCGACTATCTATAAAAGCAACTGGCAGTGTCCGAGAATACCAGTCAGTATCTATACGGCACGGTAACGATTAATGAGTTTCTAATTACCGAGTAGATTTAGGAACTCGAGTGTTTAGAATTCTGAGCATCATGAAACTAATTACCTTTTTATTCTCTACATTAACCATTATCGGTTTGGGTAAGTGTAATTTCATGTTTTCACTAAGCAATTTAATCCTTCATTACGGTTACTCAACCATTGAACAGCCACGTGAATGTGGATCCATTTTTTATAAAAATAACAGCAACCGCAACTGGAGGGTTTTTAACCCTAAGTGGTCGTACCAATTTTTGTGACCCGTGGATCGTGACACATGACCTGCCAGACCGACGGTTTCATTGCTATGTAATTTTTGAGTATATGTTTATTTTGAGATTCAATTATAGTGAAATCAAAACTCCAGACTCTGAAAAGAATAAACTATACGCGAATGGGAAAAATAATTTGTTAAAAAGTTATAAAATTTACAAAAAAATTTGTCACGTGGAATAGGTAGAAACGAAGTGTTTCCCTGATCCACTGGATTGAGAAAATTTCAAATATTTTTTACGATAATTTTCACTAATTATTTCAGGCCAGGGTTTAAAGTGTTACTCGTGTTTTTGGGAGGGTTGCTCGGATCCTTTTAATGCTACTGCAACAGGAGTATCGAATGTGACTTGTGTATCTGGATTCAATTATTGCGCAAAACAAGCTGTTACCATTGGTAAGGATATAACATTGATTGTTTAATGTCATTTGATTATTTTTTATTATTAATTTATCATTTGTCACCTTATTCTGAAATTTCCGTAGATTCCGCGAATACAGTATTCCGCGGTTGTGTGAATAGTACGAGTATGCCAGTGACTAGGCGCATTGGAAGTGTGACAAATCGTCTTGACATCACGTATGGAAAACTTTACACTTGCGATACAGATTTCTGCAACGGAGCAAGTTCGATGAAGAACGCAATTGGAGTTGCTATCGTGTCACTCGTTGGTTTAGCATATATCACACTTTAAATTGTAATTAAACTGCACTTAGCTACTAGCTTCTATTCCAAGAAAAGTATTAATTCCGTAATAATATCGATGTAGATTAAATTAAAAAAAATATATTTAATAGTATGAAAACTTTGAGAAAAATATAACCTCAACCCATTTATCTCTTAAAATACATAATGACGTGTGTTGACACATATATTCTGAGATAGCGATAATACCTTCTTCAAACCTAAATCCTGTGTTGTGCAATGATCTCTGTGATGTTGATCTCTCTATCAATAATAACTGAGATAGTCAAAAATAACTCACGGCATTGATATAGTTGTACAGTGACAGCCCATCATCCCAAGGCTCCTCTTTTTCGCACGACAGATTTGCAGGAGTGAGGATGTGACTGCGATCCAGTGCCTCCAACCCATGAGCAAAAACCTGAACGCTGTCGTATACTAGAGCCGGTTCTGCCTGGAACATTGCGTCAAGATTTACTTGCCATTAAACACTACGTTTCACGTACAGCATTTTCTTTCAAAAGGAAGAAAGTTATTGTTGCAAGTAAGCAACGTTTGTGGAACAAGGATATTTTGTGTTTAACGTTTGTGCCGGCTGTGTATACCGGATTGCAGGTCGACAGACGAAATACAGATAATAAGCCTACCTTCAGGCGTTCTGGTTTGACGGGACAATATGGCGTCCATTCTTCCCGAACAAAGGGTCAATTGGGGTTCTGTTAATTGACACGATTTGATAACCTTGCGCGAATTATCGTCGAGTCTGATTTAATTACCGATGGACTGAGAAAGGTCGGATTGTCAACCAATGCTCGTTCGTAGGTATCAAACTGTCCGTCCCGGCCGTTCTGCCCACAGTCGGGGATTTTGATCGTTCCACTAATTCCACGTGACGCGCTCGAAGCGTCTTGCTAAATCGTGAACGTTACTGACTGCAGATGGCAGCCGCGACGCCACGTCGTTCTAAGTTTTGCCATCGTTCGCTGCCCTCGAGAATCTTGATGGCTCAAAGAGTTCGACCTACATTACCGACAGGCCCGATTCGGTTTGAATCCCAGCAGGGAGGATAACGACGTGAAATTAAATCCATTTACGCTTTACTGCTAACTCTCCGTTTCTTTCTGAATCCTATTACGATTCGTCCTATCCTGTGGCCGCGGCCAGCTTTGTTCCCCACGTCAGTTCTCAGTGATATGGATCGATTGTTCTACTACGCAGGAATTTTCAAGGATCACGAAACATACCCGAAAAGTTACGAAGTGTCAATATATTCCAGGTAAGATCGAATGATAATTGAAAATAATATCGACCGAGGAATAAAACACTGGAATAATAGTTATGGCGTTAACATCGTTAATTTTTTTCGGCTAGTCAGTTTCTGTCTGTTTACCAACCTGTATCACGCCCGACCTGTTCAAGATGGCTGGTCCAATTGGATGAAAGCCTTCCATGTGTCTGAGGACATCGACGACCTTTGGCTCCTCCAGGTCAACCAATCTGAAGGCTGTCATATTGACACTGTTGTATTTGAAGTCCTCGAGATCGAACGTCTCAATGTCCTAAACGAGAAAAGAGAGACAAAAGAGAAATGCATAAAAGGCGAACGCAGGAGTCCTGAGATGTACGTAAGAAAGACGAAGCGGAATATTGACTTTTCGATTTCAGAAAGATCTCGCAATAAACGATTGCGTCTATCGGTGTCACCGATCTTCGAGAGAGCAAATACGTCCTACTTCTTCTTTCTCTTTGCGATATCCATCAATTCCAAGCAACGAAATTACGCGAAAACAGTATCAAGAGATAATGCTTAGCGAATGACGAACCAGCAAATCCATTTGGCTTTATCTCGAAGTTCAAGAGTTTCATATATATTTCCAAGAAATCCTTATTTTGGCTGATAGTAAAATTCTTACGTGCATAGTCAGCGCGGAGATACCGTTGCGAATAAGTAGGAAACGCGAATAAGAAAAGTACAGTACCATTTTAATTTTATTACTCGAAAAATATTAAATTTGGAATTACTAGTGGAAGGGGATGGGGAGCGGTGATATTTATCGAACGAAAAAAAAGGACATGCAACATTTTTTTCGCAGCCTGGTTTTCCTATCGGAAAGACAGAGTGAGAGAGACCGAGCGATAGAGAGAAAGAAGAGATACGAGAGTGAGAGAGGTAATGTCCGGGAAAATTTTCCGCGATATCGATAAACAATGTCTGATCGGCCATAAATTTATATACGCGTCGACTCTATTTTCGGTCTGCCTGTCGGAATTTCTTTTCGATAACCATTTCAAACGTACAGCTGACCACTGGTAGATATTCCAATTGACCCTGACACTTGTCGATGAAGCGATAATAAAAATCTGGCAGCATCGCGAGCGAATAAAATCCTAAAATATCACCTGGGACGACGAACAGGTTGAATTTCAGCGAATAAATATCCTTGATTTATACGATTAATCCGAATATATTTCCCAGAGAGATACAAGCGTAACCACCATCCAAGATTTGTTTTATTTACCGAAATACCTATATACACGTATACACGTCTCCTCCGAGCAAATCTACAAGGACCAAAGACGTTTCAGAAGTTAATGTATTCCGGCAATTAAGTTTGGATCCTTCGAGATTGAAATTCGCTGGGCTACATCAAAGGATACCGAAAGACGAGATACATGTAATCCCATGTTCAAAATACCGTTCGTAATGCTCTCGCGAGATTTTATGGTCCACGTGATGCTGATTAAAAAAATTGATTTTTCAGTGGTCACCTGAATCCTGTATCTCATCCACGATAAGGATCGTACTGAATTAAAATTTGTTACAAATTATTACTAGCAACGTCTTGTTTATATTTATTTAAACGTTATTATGTCTATACTCACGAAGGTAGTGAACATATAGTGGTATCTATAGTCGTTCATCTGAAGCTGCAGGATCTGCAACACACAAGAGGATGCGGATCAGCTCAATGATAAGGGCATACGGCGAATCCTATGAAGCGAGAATTAATATATTGACAAAGATATTATTGATCAACTTCTATATTATTACGTAACAGAAATAAAAGAGAAAAATATCTCCAGCCATGTTCCTCTCTACGTGCATTCGTGTATTCGAATCCAGAATGATTCTAAGATAAATCTGCGATATATCTTGGAGACGGTATGCAGTACGTAGTCGGACAGTGTAGAGACTATACCTTATGCCAGATATTGCACATGAAGTATATATATATATATATATATATATATATATATATATATATATATATATATATATATATATATATATATATATATATATATATATATATATATATATATATATATATATATATATATATATATATATATATATATATATATATATATATATATATATATATATATATATATATATATATATATATATATATATATATATATATATATATATATATATATATATATATATATATATATATATATATATAGACAGTGTAAGCAAGCATGGGATAAGCTTTGGGATGCTTTTGATTAATTGTCAAAGATCTCGGGGGATTTTATGTAAATAATTTTGATATGACCCGAAATGTAAAACTGGACACAGTGGACGTATTGGATTTATTTGAAAAATTTCAGTTACCTCTCCCATACAAATTACACTGCCCTTTTGCTCCCTTTGATTTAGTATATTATGCCTATACGGGCCTATATCTATACGGGCAATAGATCATAACGGTATCAGAATTGTTTTCGAAGGAAATCAAAAAGCGAAGTCGCTACGTAGCGATGAGGGATGAGAGCTACGGGATATTCCTGTGGGAACAGTGGGAGCCTGATGATACCTTCCGGATACTCTCCAGGGTCTACTTCCGGTGGGCGTGATCACCATACTCTTTCACTATTCGGGAGTCGTTTGAATTTCTTTGGATTTCAAACGAGAACAATTTCTACGGGGTACATGTATATATATGTATATATATTACAGACTGTCTTTTTATTCTCCAAATGATTTCACTCTTCAAGGACGCAAGTGTATCTTTTTCTTTATTCCGAACCATCTCGTTCTAGGCGATATTCCACATTGGTATATTATCCCGAAAAGTGAAATCATCCCCTTTTTGCCATTTTACGGATAAACGCTGTATCAAATTCGAATCGGTTGGATCAGTGTTGGATCAGGGGATTATGTAAATGAGTCTATTGAATGTCCAGCGGGAGAAGGAAGATGAGGCGGGTGGGGGGTGGTACAAAAAAAGAGCAAAACGGAGGATTTACTTAATATGAAATTGAAAGATAGATGGTCATCGGCTGTATCGACTTATCGAATCGTGAATATTAATATATTTTATCATAATCGAGATATCCTGAGTAGGTATGTGTGGTTGCAGTTTTTTTTATAAAGGCTGTGACCTCATTTTTTGTCTTTCATTTTAATTTTTCAATAAACTCAATGATATATAAGAATACTAGCTGAAGTCTCGTTTCGAAAATTCCCAGGAAATAAATTTTTTTCCGATACCATGGCTGTACTTAATATTACGTGTATGACATCGTCGCGGGATTACGATTTGGAATACTTGATGCAGACTTGAATAATAAATTGAAGCGTTGATTCGCTATGTGTAAGCTTCTTAACAGTTCCGGTACCGATGGTGTATTTAGCTAAACGAGATATACCGTGTTCGCAATAATATCTTATGGTATACAGTTTTCATCATAAATTTGAGTAATCGCCATTTTTTTATAATTTCACTAAACTCAATTTGAAAGCAACAGGAATGCATTCTTATTAAAATATATGTGTTTTTTTTTTAAAGATTAGTTGGATGATTTTTGTAAAATAAAAATAGTTATTCCGAAAATACAGAAAGGTGCGAATACTTTTTGTTTTAAACTTCGAACTTTCAATTCGATTCACTTTCAATCTTATCTTGTCGCTCTTTTACCCAGCCGGTCTTTGATACCGCAGATCTTGAGCCTTCTGGCAACCAACCAATCTTCCAGCATCTCTCGCTCCTTTGATCTTGGTCGGTGTGCTTCCGGAAAGTGCACTTATTTCTGGAAGACTTTGGAGACAAACCGCAAGTAGTTACTTTGAATCTCCTCACCTTCCATTTCGCCTCCTCGCCGTCTCCTTCGCAGAATTTTATTCACCGATAACGTCAAAAACACGAATGCAAATTTCTTTAGCAAGGACCATTACGTAGTTTTGCACCAAACGTCTTTGTATGATTTTATGGCAGTCGGATTTTAAAAAACATTTTTAATAATTTAATAAAGAAAAGTAAAATTGTAAAGTAAAATTATTTTTTTTTACACTGAGGAAATAATTTTTAAAAAAATTAAAATGGCCCACTTACCGCTCGGAAGAATTGTTGCATGTGTGCAGGATCCGTGTCGACGATAATCTTGTAGATTTCCTTGTGTCTGACTTCCCTCAGAACCTGCCTGTACGAACTGGGACCCGCTTGTCTTATGTACATTTCCGTCCTGGACGACGGCGGCGACTTTACGAGATCCTGGAGTTTGAACAATCCTGCAAGAAATACAATGACGTGCTATTGAAATAATCCTATAATTCCTATTCAATCTGCCTTCTCTTTCTTCTTCCTTTCTATCCTTTTCGTTCTTTGCTTCTTAGCCGCTGTTCCTACGTTTTATACATGATTCTCGGATTTGGATATTCGCCGTCGGACAGGAAAATAATTTTGCGAGGAAATACGAAGAAATTTTTTAAATCTTTTACGTGACTTTGCCGAATTACGTTATACGTTAACGAATAAATTTAAATGATCTGTCGATTCTCAATGGGAGATGACGTCACTTCAATTTCACGATTATTTGAATTTATCGCTATGTTTATCAGCTAAGTAACAATAGTTCGATCGAACTATTATTTATTAATATTACTTGTGTACGTGTAAGTATATATATATATATATATATATATATATATATTAAAATGGATTTCATGAAACTTTACACGTTTAACAAATATTTTCTTATGTAACGTGACAACGAGATAAATACAAATGGCGTGAAAATCCAATGGCGTAGCTTCTGAAGACTCTCAGGATATTTCTAAAGGACTCGATGGAGGTCCTTGAGTGCTCTTTTGCGGATTGAAAATACAAGGGGAGTGAATTACTCTACAAGGTGTTAAATTTATTCGTTCGAAAATGGAGGAAGCTATAGTGAAGGAAGTATAGTGTTCTGCAGATTTAATAAAGACGATAAGTTTATCTCGGATCGTATTTTATTTTTTTTTACTAAATTTCAAACATTTTGTCCAATTCACTGTTCAACGAGCAAACTTCAAACTTGTCACTTCCCTTTTCGTTCAATCTTTATTTGTTGTATCTAAAAAATTCTTTTCAGAGTGAATCTCCTGTACACGCTATAGCTACATTAACCTTTTGAACTCTTGGGACCTGTAAAACTTTATAAACTCAATTCATCTTTTTAATAGCATCTCCAAAGGAAATGTCTTTTCAACGTCCATTTTTGAGTCCTATACGTTTATTTTGACGGTAGAGTAAAGACAGTTTAGAAAATTCAATAACATTTTTTCAGAATGAATTTTTTTTCTTCAAATTTTCGTATTCCTACAATTCAGCATGGATGCGAACCTTCGAAGGGGTTTTGAAGAGTCGGTAAATGTCGGTGCAGGAATCTGTATCCCGAACCCCGTTAGATATACTAGTTATCTCGATAATTATCAAATTACGAGAATAGAAGCAAAAAAGGGGCTTAATGGGGAAGCCTAAGAATAAAAAAATAAATCCGAAATCATTTCTCTTACCGTACCTGACTAGGCATGTACCTACCAGTGTTCCAGGATGCAGGTGTTTATGCAACAGGAAACAAAACGAAGGTGATAATGAAACTGACGTTGATTTTGCGAAGAACGTAGAGAATGATACCCGTGGGAATTTCGCGAGCGTCTCTTTCAGTGTGAAAAAGGTAAGATTGAAAAATAACAAACTTGGCCTGGCTACGTGGACGACGAAGCGTCGTTGTCCAATTACTCTCGACGGTAACTAGGGAAGTTGCTCTTAGGGGTAGGTAAGGGTGCGAGAAAATTCTCCCGGGGGATTCCAAGGCAGTCGAGGTCTGTCTAGCTCCTTTTTCTATTCTGAGACTTTCCTACGAGCAACTTCAACCGGGAGTCTTATTCCTTGAGAATTTATGATGGGGTCCGCAGTCCTGTTCTTTCTCCCTGAGGACGCTTCGGTTCCGACGGGACATCAGGACAGTCGACTCCGTCGAGAACGTATACGAGTACACAATATCTATGGGGGAGGCGAGAATAGCGTAGGAAATACTTGAAAAAAAAAGAAGAAAAATTTTTCAAAAGCAAAAACTGACAGCCATTACTCGGATAGTAAAAATAAGTCTGAAAGTTTGGATTCTTCTTTGTCTTCTTGGACTTCGTTACTTACTAGGGAATCTATGGGAGAGTTTCTAAGTTTCAATGAAATCCTGTAAGGTTCAATCGTGCATATTGTTATAAGGAAACTTTCTGCTTTCGCAGATACACGTAACGTAGGATATATATACATATATATAAGACAGCGGTACTCGGTCCGGAGAGAATTTTGACTTTACCATAATCGAGGCTTGTCGCGTATTGTGTGCTCACCTTACAGATTACTTTATCTTTTATATTTTTTAAATTTTCTTTTTTTTGCTTTTCATATGTGCTGCGAAGAAAAAGATTTTTTTTTTCCAATACCCAATTATTTTACCCATCGAATTTATTTGTATGTAAAATCTCTTTCGTTTCCTAAGTATATCACATTGATATAAACATTTTCCCTAGCAAACTGGGATACGATACTAATCTTTTGTTTAAATATTAACATTTTTCTTTCCCACATTTCGCTCCACAGCTTACAGGCTGCTTTAGGTAATCTGCTGTTCGTTTATTTTAAATTCGACGGGATGAGCGCCAATGGAATGAAAACAAGCGAAGGAAGCTGGAGTCGAGGGGAAAAGGGAACATTAGATAAGGACAGAGACAAGAAAAGGAAGTGTGGTAAGTCGATAAATTTGAAAAGCGGAAATTTAAAAAAAAAGAAAAAGAATTTCATTAACACAGTAATGCAACGTCACGAGCAATAAATGTCACGGGATATAATTAAGTATCGCGAATAATTTTTTGTTCAATACTTAAAAAAAATTTCAAAGCCGTTAACGTTAGGAGGTTGACGACCCTTACTCTTTTTTTTTCAATTTTCATCTTTTTCACATATCGTGCCCTTCCTATCAAGTTCAAAAGCTTATCTATCCAGTGCGCAAATTAAAATATTGCAAGAAACGACGCGAGACCTTCGACCCCGAAGCGAAGAAAGTTTCCTCGAGTTTCGCGTACATAGAAATTGTCCACGAACCTGTCGACGACCGCGGCGTCCTTAACGATACCGACGGAGCGAGCGTCGTCGCGGTCAGGTGGAAAAACTTTGCGCTTTCAAACCAGGAAAAGCGGATTAGCCTGTTTAGCCCGAGGTCGACGTTTCCCAATAAAAGAAGCCGCGAGGAAAAGCGTGGAAAAGGTAAGAGTGACAAGGATAAGACGATGCTTGAGAAATATAAATAAAAATTCGCTACGCGAATTCGCACAGAGAGGTAGAAGCGGACAGAAGAAATGACGACAAACTCAGGCTGGCAGCTTTCATAGAAACGAGCGTAAGTCCAATACGGCCAAAGAGGATTTTCCCGTTGAGAGAGGTCACTGCTAATCCCCCTGACCTCCGCGGATCCGGATCTCAGGACCAAACGAAGGTCCTGAAAAATATGACGCAGCAGGAAGGATGTATAACGATGAAAAAGAAATGTGACGAAAAATTGCGAAATTGCATATTTCCTCGAATGTAAGGAGATTCGCGAGGTTAAGGTTGGGTCAGGTCAGGCTGGGTAACTGCAGTTAGGTTATACGCGAGTGTCTGCGTCTGACGTACGCTGACAGTTAATTTCCGCTTCCGGTAGCTGATTCCGACACGTTTACTCGAAGACGCTCGCAATTTCGCAATTGCAAAAACTTACCTACCTCAACTCATACGATTTAAACTTCCTCACTGGACTTGCCCTCGTTATCCCATATGCAAAGCGCCACCTACTCCTGCACAGTATGAATACAGACTCGACTCACCGTAGTCCTCCTCATAGATGATAGCCACTCTGGTCCAGTTGAGGAAAGACATGAGATCCTTGAAGGCCTTGTTGAGATGATCCTGAGCAGGATACAGATTTATACTAAACTCCTTGAAGGTTGGCTCAAAGTCGACTCGAGCCTCTAAGTGCGGGACGTCCAAAGCTTCGCATATGCTTTGTATGTGCGCTCCCAGAAGTGGATCCGATGGACCAAAAATTCCTTGAACTGATCTCGAAAGCTGCTTACAGGCTGTAAGGAATACAAGGGAAATTATTATTATTATTATTCGACGGACCATACGCTTCGCTTACCCCAGATAATATATTACCGTTGTATCTAGGTATAGGATATATTGTAATATATGGTACAGTAAGTATACGTATATATACCGGGTTACGGTAAACGGTTTAGTGTCTGTATCTTTGAAAAATTGGGCTGGGATGATGCACTTTGCCGTAGAAATGGAGATTTAGGTATGAGTCGATCGTTTATTGCGGTTCGTGTATGAGCGGCCATTTGGGACTCTGTGTCAGCGAAAAATGGACAGGAAATAGATACATTGAGCTAAAGGTCCTTTCTTTAGCCGTTATCCTTTATCCGAGAGTGTGCTTTCCAATTCCGTCGTTCCCTCTGTCAACCGAACGGCCCAACTACTCTTCGACAATATTCGTGCCACGCCTGTCGCAGTACTAAACGGAAATGGATTGTTCCTATTTTCAAAGTTGGAACGTGGCCTTTATAAATATCTACTGTCTCGCGTATAAGACATTCTGAATAATTCATAGCGCGCGACAGAGAGGGGAGGGGACGGGAGGAACGAAAAAAAAAAACAAAAAATTAAAATACAAAACCAATAGATTTAAGTGAAAGGGCAGAATGTCTAATTAAATTTTTATCTTTATTCCGACCCACTATGAGAATCCGGACGAAAGATTAATTTCTTGGTAAATGGTCATGTCCTTCTTGGAACGAAATATTTTTTTATTTTACTCCATACGACGAACATTAATGCTCGCGTGGATGTACGAATGTAAAAATTTACGGGTTTCAAAGTCGCCTGCATCTTTTTATACGACCGAGCATCAAACTGCAGGAGACAAACGGTCCTCTTAGTCCTGTAAAACTTTTGTCGAAAGTTCTTATCGTGGTAGCTGCATATATATATATATATAATATTATATATATTAAAGCACGTAACCGTAGGTGCATACTTCCTGAATACAAAGTTTAATCACCGTTTATGGATGAAAGTAAGACGAAACACGCAGACTCCGTTCTGGAGCAGAATTAATTTAAATAAGTGGAAAGTTAACCTTGAAGCTATACATTAGTCTTCAAGAATATTTCCAGCAGGAATTAAAAATTGACAATTGCATTTTTCTTTTCGTTCCATTGATGATTTTATCTCACAACTTTATTGGAAGTATTTATATATATATATATATATGGTGTGACAAAAAAAATACGTCAACGATAAATTCTCTTGGGACGCTCATCGTTACAAACCCGCGTATACGATTCAATTTCTCATGGTAAGATCAATGGGTCTCTATAGTTTTGTTTCTGGCGTTGGTAGCATTGCGGTGGGGAAGCGTAATTTAACGAAAGTACTAGAGAAAAGTAAGAATCAAGTATAAATAACAATCTTCTGCGAAGGATGCGAAGAGAGAAAGAGATAGTGATAGAGTACGCTGGTAAAGAGAAAACGGCCGAAGGAACTAGAAGCGAAGAAGAGCTTACAGGTTTATGGAATAGCGGTAGCTGTATATATACTGTATATACAATATATATTCTTTATTTATATGTATCATGTGTATATATCCATGAAAACGTATATAAAAATATACAGCTGTATCAGCTTGCACGGCAATACGTAATGCTCTTGGCTACGAGGACCTATAGAAATAGGATATATGTATACTACATTTACGTATTACGCGCTGTTGCTATTACATCGGCGTAACTCGAAGAGTTGTAAAACTTATTTCAAAGAGGGCTTAAGATCGTGACGTCACCTTAGCAGAGACTATACATTTTACTTATATCTCGGACGTGTATCGAATGGGAAAGCATCTTTTCAGCTTCTATCCGAAGGATGACTTGTTTTTTATGTGCTTATTCGTACAGACACGTGTTCAATAATAACGAACCTGATAGTCGAGGATAAAGTCGAAATAATTTAATTGGTAGAAATAATGGTAGAGTGGAAAAGAAATGGTGACGCAACCCGTATTCCCGTGTATTGGATAAAAGGTAATTTTGAATGTGCGGTATATTTTTGGACGAGGGAGTAGCTTCTTTTGAAAGTGGCTTTACGCGTCGAGTAAGGGTGAGCTTATGGGTCCAAAGTGCGTAAGTAGTGGCACTTGGGCTTCAAGGGAGGGAACGACGTGCAATTAGGGGGCTGAATGGGAAGACGTAACGCGTCGCGACGTATAACGGAAGGTAACGCCGCGACGCACTTGCCGACGCGTGTTGAGAGTCCCGAGGAGCCGCGAGAGGAGGGAAGAGGCTGGGTCGAAAAGCTACCCCGTATTTTTCGGTTAGTTCGCGTTTTCCCTCGAGGGTTGGAAGTATCGTTCATCACCCCCTTATGAAATTGCGTGCATAACTAACGAGGCGACGCGTTTCTGGTTGTGGAAATGCCGTTTTGCGAACACGCGAAGAGAGAAGGGACTTTCAGGGAAACAAGGAACAAGTGGATGAAGGAGAGGTTGCAGGAGAAAAAAAGAAATGGAAAAATGAAGAGGGAGAAGGAGAAGGAGAAGGAGGGAAATGCATGAGGAAGAAAGAGGAAGATAGAGGCAGAGAAAATATTTTTCAAATTGCACCGAGTGAACGGAGCCGTATGATTAGAGAGAGAGAGAGAGAGAGAGAGAGAGAGAGAGAGAGAGAGAGAGAGAGAGGGTTAAGATAGGGAAGTAGATAAGGACGAAAGAAGAAAAATAAAAGAAAAGTGGAAATCGGGTGGATTTTCCTCGTAAAATCATTTGGATGGAAAATGCGGGAATGGAGCTTCCATTTTTTGGCGTTCTTTCTTATCTTCCTTTTTTTTACTCTGTCCTTATCCACCGGCTACTGGTACGCTCCTATTTCTCTCTCTCTCTTTTTTCGTATTCGTTGGACCGGCCTTAAAGCAAATCTAAGAGGCGGAACTTAGTTACGCAGTTAGGATGACCCTCTCTTGTATCCTGGAACCGTAAAGATGCCAGAATGAAAAATCCCTTTTCCAAGTTAAATCCGCAAATCTCGAATAGGCACGGAGGTGAACGCTAGGACAGTCGAGGGGAAGTAGAGAGGGAAAAAAGGGCAGAGAGAGAG